CTGAGGGACAAAGTGGGTCAGAAGAGGGGAGACTGAAGGGTCCTGAACACATACCTCTTCTGTCCCCTCCCTCAGCCTCCTCCCTGGCCCCTCTAGAGCACCACAGCCACATGAAAACTCATGGGGGAACAGTTGGGGCTTTTTATAATCTTTATTTGATAACAGTTCAGGCTATTTCTTTCCATGCTGCAAGAGATGCCAATGCTTCATGAAAAAGTTGTGAAAACAAAACCAAGTCTATTTTGGGGTGATCAGCCTCCTCAGAGCTTCTCCCTTGCAGCTCTGCAGAGCTCCAGGAATGGGCCTGCCCTCTGTCAGGTCTGCAGCTTGCTTGAAATAAAGGTTCTTAGTTCTGGACATGCTGTGGCTAGGGGTACATTTTTGCCCCCCTCTTATAACTTTTCTGCTTATAAAACAAGGCAGAAGTAGTAACAACATCTAGTTTCTTTCTGCCTGCCTGGTGGTGGTTTCCAAAGTGTCCTGTCCTAAGAAATTAACATCTGAGGAGACTGGAGGTGGACCATGCATTTCCCCCATGGCGTTAGTGATGGTGGTATTTGCAGCTCTTTAAAGACATAAACCAAGTGCTCACGTTTTTCTGCTGAACGAAGAGCTGCTTCAAAGCTGCAGTATGTGGAGTATATGGAGGCCTTAGCCAGCTGTGGCTCCCCCGGGAAGCAAGGCCAGGGTAGAGGAGCATGGGTGGGTGGGCAGAGGGTCTGCATGCTCATATGTCTACCAGTTTGGGTATGGATTTTTCAGTTCCTACCTTGAGCAGCCCTGCCAGCCCATAGTGTGGCTATAGGAAGTCTGCAAAAGGCCAGCTGGGGTTTAAGGATCCCAAGCAGAATTCTCACTTGTGTTCCCTTTACTGCCTCATCCTGTTTGTTCATTTCTTCAGGAGACCTACTAGGCACTAGGCCCAAAGTGGGCATAGATTTTCCAACCCTGCTAGTTAGATTCTCAGATATCCAACACCCTCCCCAGTTTTGCCTATTTCCTCTGTGCTATCTGCTCTCCATAGGCAGCCCAGGTGGCATAGGCACAAATGGGGTTGGGTCCCGACTTACACCCAGGTGCTAAGCATAGGTCTGTGAGGGGGAGCAGGCAGAAATGGAGGAAGAGCTAGAAGGATCATACAACCTCTGATCTCAGCCCTGGAAGGTGCCATGAGAAGATCATTTGGCCACCCCCTGTCTTTGGGCAAGTAATATTGTTATCTCCAATGGAGGATCAGAGAGCCTAAGGTCATTGTCCAAAATTGCACAGCCAATTCCTGGTGGAGGGGAGACTAGAAGGGCTGCTGTTGCCCACATCTCTGCGCACACTTGGGGACTCTTCTTCCCTTGGCTTTCTTCTGTCTTATCACCATCCTGCTCCTTGGGGACTGTGACAGAGATGCCCTTCCATTACCCTTTAACAACCCAGTGCACACTACTTCCAGAGGTGTCGGGCTGGCCTCTCCAAGCCTGTCCTTGATTATGCCCTCTCTCTCCTGAAATTCTAGAAGTTTCTTTGTCCAAACTAGTCCCAATATTGTGACTGATCATTTAAGAAAATTGAAAATAGGGACTGAGAAAACAAGATGGCGGTGTAGGTAACAGCTGCACCCGCCGCCTCCCACAACCACATCAAAATTACAACTAAAATATAGAACCACCGTCACTCAGAGCCTCCTGAAATCTGGCTGAACAGAAGCCTCACAACCAGGGAACTGAAGAAGCACCAAGACGGGTAGGAGGGGCGGAGATATGGGCGGATCCGGACTGAATTGGAGACTCGCAGCGGGCCCACACCTGGGAGGAACATCTCCGGTTTCCCGGAGGAGCGAGGGGTCCCAGCCCCACAGCTGACCCCCAGCCCAGGGCTTCGGGGCCAGGAAGAGAAGTCCCCATAACTCTGGGCTATGAAACCAGCGGGGACTGTGGCTGAGGGTCATGGAGGCTGTGGGAGCCGCAGGCTTTCCTCTCAAAGGGCCCGGCACCNACCAGCGGGGACTGTGGCTGAGGGTCATGGAGGCTGTGGGAGCCGCAGGCGTTCCTCTCAAAGGGCCCGGCAC